TGTTTTTTTTTTTTTTTAACCAGTCCGACAAATCTTTTCAGTTTCGCAAAGCGAAAACGTGGGCCGTCCAATAATATTTGAGCATTACATCACGTGGCCAGAGCAACTGCTGTTACCCAAAAGGCCGACACGGTAGCGCTAAAAGCTCAGAAGACTATTGAGCATGAGCGTAAAAACACAGAAATGGAGGACTTTCAACCAACATACAAAAAATATGGATGTCGATGTTGTTGTCGTTGGTGTCTGAACATAGAGAACTTTTTGACTGTTTTAAAAAATCGAGTGAAACATTATTCTACACATGACATATGAAAGCAAATAGACATATGATTATAACAATATATTTAGGGCCCGAGCACCAATGGTGCGAGGACCCTCTTGGAATTGCTCTGTTTATTATTATTCTTCCGCTTCTTCTCCAAAATTAATCACATTTTTGAGGGCCTAAACATGCTCAAATTCATGAAACTTTGCACACGCATCAGAACTGGCGAAAATTTACTTCTGATACAGGTTTCAGAAGTGGGTGTTGCAAAATGGCTTGATAGCGCCACCTATAAACTTCCAACGGAGTCCGCCTCAAGCTACGTTTCATGTACATGTATGACAATTGGTACACACATGTAACAGAACAATGTCTACAAAAAAGTCTCTTAGAGCAAAATCCGAAACCCAACAGGAAGTCTGTTATTTTTTAATTTTCTCTGCAAAGTTTGTGTCATTTTTGCTATTTTCAGGCGTTATTAACGAACTCCTCCTAGAGATTTTATCAGATCAACACCAAATTTGGTCAGTCTAATCTAAAGCCCTTTGTGATGTTAAATTGCGAAGATCTTGAGTTTTTGTTGAAGGGCGTGTCCATGGCGACCTGACAAATTTCGATGTTTCGCCATGAAAGAGGAAGTTGTTATAACTCGGGCATAAAATGTCCGATCTGCCCCACACTTCACATGTTTGATAAGACTCCTGACCTGAAGAGATCTACATGCTCATATTCAGTTATTGTCATAGCACCACCTGCTGGCAGCAAGAAGTGACATGTTTTATGCTGTAACGCATTTCTAGAGATTTAATGACATCAACATTATAATTGGTCAGTCAAATCTAAACTCCTTTGCGATGTTAAATTGCGACAATCTTGAGTTTGTCTTGAGCCTGACAAAGTTCAATGTTTCGCCATGGAAATAGAAGTTGTTGTAACTCAGGCATACAATGTCCGATCGTTCAATGAGAGTCCTGGCCTGAACACATCTAAAGGCCAATATTCCGTTATAATCATAGCACCACCTGCTGGTAACAGAACATTACTTGTTTTACACTAACTTAAACATGCAATGTCTGATCTGCACCAAACTTTGCATGTTTGATAAAAGTCATGCCCTGAAAACTTCTACATGTCATTATTCTGTTATTATCACAGCACCACCTGCTGGCAACAGGAAATGTCATGTTTTACACCAACTCAAACATACTTTGTTCAGTCTGCACCAAACTTCACATGTTTGATAAAGGTTCTGGCCTGAAAACATCTACACATCAATATTCAGTTATAGTCATAGTGCCACCAGCTGGCAGCAGGATGTTTGGCACATATAAATGACTTTGACATTTATCATGATCTAAATGTATGCTACTATGGAAGACCAATGGTTAAAAAAAAACACCTCAAACAGTCAGAATAATTACATTTCACCATATACAAAATTAGATTGCTACAATTTTTACAGATATTACTGATTCTGATAATGAACATAAATCTACATCTGCATCCTAACTCAAGCAACTATCAAATGTTTATTTCTAAGAGACAAAAAAAATGCTATAGGCCTATTAATATTATCAGGCAACACAAACGTGTTTCTTGATTTGAAACTATTACTCATTACTAGAACATGCAGAACTAAGAAATATTTTTTTTCAATTAAGATATTTATTTTGTTAAGGAAAAATGACTGGAAAAGTGTAAAGAATTCAAAAATGATGTGTTTGTCATGTTCTGACCATAAAGAATAGTTTAAAACTTTCGCATTGGAGCAAAAATCTGCCTTTAAACTGTAAATTTATCGTGATAATTATCGATATCGACTGATATGAAAAAATATATATAGTGATAATTTTTTGGCCATATCGCCCAGCCCTAGTGCAAGGGCCCTTTCAATGCTGCTTGCTGCTTTAATTTCTGTATGTGTTTTGTATGCAGAATTTTATAACAATAAAGGATGTTGATGACATACAAAGAGTCTGCCTATTATAATCAAAGTAATTTATAGGTCACAATCGGAAGTTATTACAAGCACTCGATGATGGTTTAAAGTGACTTTTAAACAAATACATTAAAGTGTTAGTTCACCCAAAAATGAAAATTAGCCCATAAATTACCCTCAAGTCATCCTAGGTGTATATGACTTTCTTCTTTCAGACGAATCCAGTCGGAGTTATATTAAAAATTGTCTTTGGTCTTTCAAGCTGTTTCATGGCACTCAGCAGGTGTTGCATGCTTCAGTCCAAAACAAGTTAAATAAAAAGTGTCTCACATGGCTCCGGGGGGGTGACCAAAGGCCTTCTGTAGCGAATCGATGCGTTTTTGTAAGAAAAATATCCATATTCAAAACGTAATAATCACTTTAATGTAGCTTGCGCTCACTGTTGTAAAGGGAAGCAGTTCCGGGTGGATGCGATCCCGGTCTGCGATCCCTGCCAATTATTATTATTATTATTATTATTTGCTTAACCACTTTAAAATGGCCTTTTGGTTGCTTTTAGTCAGAAAACGTAAAGAAAAGGACATGCATACAGCAAGATAATATAATTTCACTTACCTGGCCTATCACTTGAAGCAAACATCCATCCCTTCTTAAAAGTCTGTGTTAAAAGAGAGCTGCCTGTTGTGCCATTTAATTAAGCCGACTGCTGTAGCTTATATCCAGTTAGGCGTGTTTCCCCTTTTTTTTATTTGTATATATACTGTTTGAATAACAGCTTGGTAAATCTGTTGGCGATCAAATATTCGCTATTCGATATAAATATCGCTACTCATCATAAGTACTTGGTACATTATCAGCGCAGCGGGAGATGTTCAAACTAATATCATGTAATTTACGTCTCTATGATGATTGGTTGATATCAGAAGGGAGGTTAGCCTCCCTTGCGAGGTTTCTTTTCTCAACATTCCTCAGCGCTATAAGTGAACACTCGATGGTGATTGGCTAATTTTTTTTTTACCAACGGAGGCCCGAGAGCTCAGCTCTCCCCCGGCCTCACCCTCCCCTTCTCTACCATTAGCGGTTGTAATTACATCAGCAGATTCGGCACATTCGCGATAGAAAAGCGGCGCTTTTTGACCTAAAACATAGACTCTGATGTTAATGTGTCTGCATTCAAGCATTTCAGTGGGCTTAAACAGATCACCCTTTACAGCAGATTTAGTTTACAAACAAATGACAGCTTTGACCTAAATGTGATTTTCAGTTACAATAAGTAATCCTAAAATTCGACATTAGTAACTTACTTTTAGCAGCATCAGTCGCGCGCGCGGTTCTTGTGAATTCGGTTCACTGGAGACTCGCACTAAACGGATCATTTGAATAAGTGAGTTGTCGACTCGAGAACAGCTGCAATCAGATCATTCTAATTCGTGAATGAATTGTTTGGCGCGATTTGCGAACCGATTTAATGGGTTCAATAAAAAGAATCAGTTCGTTCATGAATCAGACACCGTTTCTGAGTCTCGGAGCACGTGATATATTATAAGGAGTAACAATAAGTTTTATGAAATGTAGTGAAGTAAAAAGTATGATCTTATGCTTTGGAATGTAGTAAAGTAAAAGTTTCTCAAAATAAAACTACTCCAGTAAAGTACAGATACTTGAAAAATGAAGTAAAACTACTTTGTTACTGTCCACCACTGATCACATCAACATTGTAAAGCATATTCATCAAAAACTTAAGAGAAAACAAAATAAATTATCATGCGATGTGATAAAATAACTTCCCGTCCCTGCAAACGATACAGTGAAGAGTGAATAAATGTTTAAATTAAAGGCAAAAACAACAACAACAACAAAAAAGTTAAGCAGTTATCCGTATTGAGAATGAGAAGTAACCATAGGAACGGATAGCGTATCCTGCTAATATGGCTGCGCCTTCCCGAAATGCAATGCGGAGTGAATAGATTGTGACGTAACTCCTCATAGTGCAGATGTACATGCAATATCATCAAGCAGTATATACTTTTTACTTAAGTATTAAGACATTAAGTATACATTAAAAATCAAGTACTTTTGTACTTTCACTCGAGTAAGATTGAAAAGGTGTACTTCATACTTTTACTGGAGTAATATTTTATTATACGTATCTGTACTTTTATTCGAGTACTTGACTTGTGTACGTCGTCCACCACTGCCTTAGAGCTGTTGAAAAATATAGATGGAGCAGCAAATAATGAGGGACACTTCTTTCAACAAAAGGTATGTTAGATAATGTTGTAGTTGATCAAACATATTTAATAGTTCTCCTTATAGAAACATGGGATTTGTGTCTGTTTTAAAAATGATATTGATCAATGATCAATGTACCTCATTCATGAAAAGTTTCAGGGAAGTACAGTTTATAAAATTGCATCAAAAGGAACACAATTTTGTATAGAAATTGTCTTTACACTGTTACACCAGGGTTCACTTGTATGTACTTTAACATTTCTCTGTCACATCAC